AGGCAGGCTTGGAGGGGAATGAGGACCATAGGGAATCTAAAGAACCGGAGCGAGATCACAGAGATATGGGACATTGTGAGAGGTGGACGGGGAAGTGCTCCTGAGCTGTGGAAGGAATGGCAAGTGCCTAACCTGAGCGCAGGAAGAGGTGCCGAGCTGCCCACAAAAGGCCCACCTTCTTCTTGCCGGCCTTGCCATTCCCGGACCCAGTGCATTCTCTGGCTTCCCTGATGTCCATGCCCTCTGTCACCTTCCCGGAGATCACACACTTGCCATCCAACCACTCAGTCCTGGCCCTGCAGATGAGACACAGGAAACGTTGTGTTGGGTCCAGCATTTGCCATGGATAAGATGCCACTTCCTGTTTGACTCCAGATAAAGTTCCTGTCGTCACATTTCTCCCTGCATTTAGACTGGCTGCCGGTATTACTATCACCACCCTGGCCCACAAGCCCTGGAATAATTCTGTGAAAGTGCAAACTCTTATAACCAAATCCTTTCTCTCCAGTGCTTGGGACATGGAAGTTTCCTGCTGGCTTTAGAACTTCATCTGCAAACAGCTCTGCCCAAGGCTGACTTCAGTGGCAGTGTCAAAGAACACAGTGGGGTTGACCTGCCTGGGCAGCACCTGCAAAACTGGACCCCCTCTTAAGGTTTCCTCATGCAAGAAGGAAGTGCCAAGGCCAGGTGTGGTAGTGCAGGCCTGTAATCCCAGCACTCGGGAGACTGAGGTGGGAGGATTGATGCGAGTTCCAGGCCAGCCTGGGCTACAAAGTGAGTTCAAGGCCAGCCTGATCTGCATAGCAAGAACCTGTCTCAAAAAGATTTTTTTAAAAAAGGAGAAGGAAATGCCAAGGCAGGAGGACCCTGGAGCAGGAAGTTCCCGGGGACTAGTTTAACTTCCTGTGGAATTCATGCCAACTGCTTTGTTCTGGCACCTCCCCTCCAGGCAGGACTAGAACACATCTGAAGAGCCCTCTTTGTACTAACTGAACAAATATTTCTAAGCTGAGGGCTGCAAATGAGGCACTGAAGCCCAGCTGTTACACCCTGGCCTCCAGAGGCCAACTGCCTCCTGCCAAGTCCAGCAGTCACTGGTCCCTGGACAGCTTATGACAAGTTACTCTCCATGCCTCGGTCTTCTCATCTCTAAAATGCACTGGTGATGGTGCCTGAGATACAGTAGATGCTCTACATGTGTTCGCTGCTGGGATTGCCCAGGGAAGAGCACAGGGTCTCAAGGAGAACAAGGTGCCCCTGCCTTGGAGCCAGCCGATAGACTGAAACCTCTGCAAACTAAGTACAGAAATGGGCAGTGAAGCTCAGCCGGTCCCACCACCCGGAAGGAAGCTTCCCTGCTGCCATCCCAGGCTCCTAGGGCCAAGAAGTTGGGCCGGTCCCAGCACCCAGAAGGAAGCTCCCCTACCTCCATCCCAGGCTCCTAGGGCAGTGAAGCTCAGCCGGTCCCAGCACCCGGAAGAACAAGGTGCCATGACTGTACTGGAGGAGCCCATGGGATAGGACAGTGAGGAACACACTGCACCATAGTAAGTCCGCTGTGGAGGTGAGACCAGGAAGGAAGCATTTGACCTGGCCTGGATCAGTGATTTGAGGATGCCCGAGGCACTCAGGGAGGGCTTCCTGGAGGCAGTGACACTAGGCCTGAGTTGGAAATGATAGGATGGAGCGAAAAGAGCTGACAGGGAAGCAGGACCCTGAGTGCCTGGCTAAGAGGTGGGGATTGCAGCGCAGAAGTGCCAGGGAGACCAGGGGATGGAGCGGAGGTGTGCAGGCCAGGGCCGGAGCCCGAGTCCTGGAGCCCAAACTCAAGCCCCAGCTCGTCCCTCCAGCTCAGTGGGACCAGGGAAGTTATTACTCGCTCCACAACCCGCAGGCCACGGTCCATTTGCTGCTTTTCCTGGTCTGTTTTGAAACTGTGAAATGAGCCCCGGTCTTCAATGCAGAAGTAATAACCATCCCGGTTCTGACATTTAAATTACAGATGGCATTTTCAATTAAACAGGCGCTCTCAGCAGGTTTAATTTAGCTATCAGTTCTGGTCTGTTCTTTAAGTGCTTAAGGGGGGGAAAAGGCAAAGCGGTGAATTCTAGGCCTCCTTCTGGGAGCTGGGAACGCGGAGGGTCTCTGAGACGAGGCATCACCTCCATCTCCCGCACACGCCCGCCAGGCCAGACACTTACACAGCCACACACACACCGGGGCAGATCCGGCTGCCTGGCTTCTGTGGGGTGGTCACTGTCACAGGGTGAGAAGCCAGGGCCTCGTCTGATTAGAGACGAGAGAGCTGGAGAAGCTGGATCCAGGCAAACTCCGATCACCAACGAGCTGTGTGACCCGGGAAGACCTAGTCTACCTTGCCGAGCATGGCTGGAAAACGAGAATACAGCCGAGGCGGATGGGTCAGAGTATTAGTGTCCTGGCTGATAAAAATGCGACAGTCCAGGTGCCTTCCTCTCTCCTTCCCTGAGGGGAGGGACTGTCATAGCTGTCGATTTGGCGCGCTCCCCCTGCTGGCCGGGCTGCTGGCGGGTGCTGAAGAAGCCGCCCGCCCGGGACACGCCCCTTCCGGCAGGCCCCACCTCCGGAAGTGAGACTTCGCTGGGACATTTAGATCTAAAGCGCGACACCTCCCACCTTGGCTAAACGGAAGGACAGCTGCTGGGACGATTCTGCTGGCCTGGTTGATCCTGGTCTTCCTTCTGGGCCGGCTGTTGACTGGGCCAACTTGTGTACTTAAGGAGGAATGGGCTGGCCTTGGAGAAGCCTCAGGCGGCCCCTCAGCGTGGACCTGCCAGGGCACCTTCCACCCGGGTGGGCCGAGGGCCGAGGGAAGAAGGTGGCGATTAGCACCCCCACATTATAGGGCAGCAAAGGACCAGAGAAAACCGGACGCCTGCCTCTCAGGGAAGGCCGGCCCACTAGATGAATGTTCTCCAAAGGCTTTAGAAATTGGGAGATGGAGATGTGGTAGAAGACGCTTGTAATCCTGGCACTCTGGGAGGCTGAGGCAGGAGAATTGCGAGTTCAAGCACAGTCTGGGCAACTTAGGGAGACGCTGTCTTAAAGTAAAGGAAGTGAATTAGGGCTGGGGATCAGCCCAGTGCAAAGATCCTGGGTTCAATCCTGGGGCTGGGATCTGAGACTCCGAGAGGTCCACAGCTTACCCAAAGCCTCCCAGCTTGCTAGTGCTGGAAGGTCGCGCCGGCCCTTTCTCCATCCAGCACCTTAGCTGCCCCACTGCCCCCAGGCTGATGGCCTCACCATCACTTCTGGGCTGAAGTGCTGAGGGAAGTCCCGAAAGGCTCCCTGGAGGCGACACACGCCCAAGTTCCTCTCACCCGGGCCTCCACCCCTCGGTGGACCCTGGGCCTGGTCCCTGCCAGCAGGGCCCAAGCACCGTGGTGACGCCCACAGTCTGTGTGAGAACGGTGGGAGCTCCTGCTTAGTGTCTGACCCAGCGCCCAGCTCTCTTCTTTGAGCCCCACAGCGTCTGCCCCTCCCCGCCCAGGCCCTGCCCCTCTCACTCCAGGAACCGGCTTCCGAGGTGCGCGAGGCGGGTGTGTGGACCCACTGCCTTAATGCTGGGCAGACTTGGCCCGGGGTACCCTCACCCCATCTGGAGTGAGCCCGACTGGAGCGAAGCCTCATGGGACCCGAATTCTCAATATTCCCTCGGAGCCCCTGGATCCAGCCGTACCTGAAAGAAAACTGTACTGCCATTCTTCATTACATGAACCCCAAAGTGTGCTTTGTTAAGCCACCCTGAGGCACATTTCTGTCATTAGGAGCTGACTGAGTGGCCATCAGGCCATGGATTGTAATTCACCTCACTTTTAGGGTCAGGAAACTGGAGCCCAAAGAGGTTAAACTACCGGCCCCAAGTTACACAGCTGTGGACGGACAGAAGCAGTGCTCCAGCATGGAAAGCCCGTGCCCCAGCTTACTCAATCGGAGCTCCTGGGGAGGGCGAAGACACAGGGGGAACCTCTCCCGCCCTGGCCCCTGGCTGGAAGGTAACAGGTTGCCATGGTTACCAGCTCACTGTGTGGCTTTAGACAGGCTGCCTCTCCTCTCTGAGCCTCGGGCTGGGTACAAATCCTCCCACCCCTGCAGCACTAGGGGGCCCCTGGGGCAGGCAGAGCGGCTCTCTCGCCCCGCCCCGCCCCCCCAGGACTGAGCCAGGGGCTTCCTGGGCCCTCTCACAGGAGCCCCAGTGGCTGCCCGGCGCCCCCACTCCCACGCACACCACCTGGCTTTCATCAGCTCTCCAAGACCAAATTCAATCTGGAAGAACTCCGCCGCAGAGCAGCGCTAGTCATGCAGTGGGAGGAGCCAGCTTTTCAGGGAATAATTCATTTTTTCGGTGTGGGAGAGGAGAGTAATTGATCTGGAGCTGCCGACGCCCTTCCTCTCCCTCTCCCTCCCCGGGACGGTCTAATTCCCCTGCAGACCCGAGACTGCTGGGCCAGAGACACAGCAATAAACAGGAGGGGGGGCTTCTGCCTTAATAGATTGGATTATTCCACTCGGTAGTGACGAAAAACAAGATTCAATTCCCCTAGAAACTCCAGCCAAGAAAATCACTTTCTCTGTCGGCTGCTCCTTCTTTTTTCTTTTCCTTTTTTTTTCAGACGTCTTTGTCTTTATGCAGCTTCGAGAGGGCCTCTCCACACCTGACCCACTGGCCACACACTGCCCACATTTGGGCTCTGTTCTCTACCCCTCGATAGGGGCCCCTGAGGACAGAGATTTCTTTTTTTGTTTTTTTTGGTACCGGGGATCAAACTCGGGTCCTTGTGCTTGCGCAGCAGGCTGTGAAACCACCGAGCTAAATCCCTGGCCCCTGAGGACAGAGATTTCCATTCGAAACCGAAGCCAGTGTGTGCCTAGGGCACTGATGGAGTGCCTTAGGCCCCAGGGTGTGTTGAGAGCCCGTGTGGGTTGCCTAGAAAGCCCTCCAGCCTCCGCTGTCCCTTGGGCCAAGAGAAGCCACCTGTCCTCCTCCCAGACCAGGCCCTGGGCTCCAAGCTGAAGGCTCCTCCTTGGGGCTCCCAACACACAATGGGCTTCCCCTCTCCATCCTTTCTCTATCACATGACAGTTATACGGGACTTACTCTTATTTATTTCACACTTGCATGTGGCTCCTTTTCTGTGCAGCCACTGATCCCAGCACCCGCAGATATTAATTCATCTGATCTTCATCATGACCTAAGAGATGGTACTAGGATCTCCCGATTTACAGATAAAGAAACTGAGGCAGTGGCTGCTGAAGGGAAGGCTTAGGTTACCAAGCCAGCGAGCTCGAGCTGGGAGCCCTGGTCCGTCTCCACCTTGCATATGTGGCCCACTCCCCAGACAGGGACCGTGGTGGTCACTGGTGTGTTCTCAAGGTGCCTGCATTAGGAAGGTGGCTGGTAAAGGCTTCAATGCCAAATGCATTCTCACAGGAACCACAGGTCCGCCCCGGAGGCTGAGTCTGAGATGTCTGTGGGACCCGGAAGTCCCCACTGTCTCCACTGGAAGCTCACCAAGCTCCCTCCCCACAGGGCTGGAATCTGCCCCCGGAGAAACCCCTGAGTCACAGAGCTCTACCAGGTCCTGACTGTGGAAACCCCTGGCTGTGTGATCCCGGGTCATCTCAGCCACTAAAACCGGAAGGAAGCCAGGTTTGATGGCGCACACCTATAATGCCAGCACTCGGGAGGCTGAAGAAGGAGAATTGCTTCGAGTAAGACCAGCCTGAACCATACAGCAAAAATCTGTCTTAATAGAAAATGGGAACGAAACAGTATGAAAGGGAGCTCGGAGGACGTGTAACACACACAGGAACCATGCTTTGAACACACCATGCACAGCTATGACGTAGCATGGACTATGACAGAGGACTCAGATATTTCTCAGGTGCTCAGAAAATAACCCAGTGGTATGGGCTCAGGTAAATGAAGCCGAGACCTGGCTGGCAGAGTGGTTTTCTGAACAGCAGTAAGACAGGTGAATTGGCAAGGATTACCAAGGAGAATCGTAGGCATCGTGCGCGAGCCATTCAAGTTTGGGAGTTGCTGAGAAGCAGAGGCGTCTGAGAGGGGGACTTGCTGGGCCAGATTTAGGACCAGGCGAGGGTTGCATTCATTCAATGACCAAGTACTGAAGTCTTCCATGTACAACATGGAGACAGGAAGGGCAAAGCTTTGGGGACTTCTGGCCGGCTCAGAAGGTGACACCCTGCGACCTCAGACGCCTGCCTCTGGGAGCCTCTGCCTCCTCTGGGATAAACTGAGAAGACAAAGTGAGGCCTCCTGGGAGAGCTTCATGGGGAGCAAGGAGATCAACATTGTGACTCCCTCTCACCGGCCTCCAGAGCCGAACAGCTGCAGCCTCCCTGACCTGAGAATCTGGGGACTCAGAGGCAGGTGTGGGTTTCTGCTTCCATCTCTGCAGGCGAAATCCAGTGAGGCCCGAGGATTCCTGTCTGCAGACCTGTGGAGGGTTTTTTGTTTGTTTTTGTTTCTGTTTTGTTTGCTGTTTTTGTACTGGAGATTGAACACAGGGTCTCACCAAGTCCCTAAATTGCCCGGGCTGGGCTCCAGTTTGCAGTCCTCCTGCCTCAGCCTCCCAGAGCACCAAGCCTGCACCGCCACACCTGGTTTGCTAATCTGTGTTCTTGAGCCTGGACAGGGGGCCTCCCTGATGCCTGGGGGAGGAAGAGAAAAGGGGAAGCAGAGTGAGGAGGAGGCTGGAGACACTGGGTGCAGCTTTATCAAAGGTAACCCCAAAAAGGCAGGGCAGGGTCCCAGGAGGTCTGGGATGGACATGACCAGGTGGCCCAGGACTTCAGGAAGCCTGTGCCAGGGATGTGTGCAGGCGTCTGGCAGGCTGTGTGAGCCACTCTGTGACTTACAAACATCACCTGCCTGGGCCTCCATGCTCCCCTTCCGGGCTGAAGCCCCTCCCCACCCGAGCCCTTCTTCCCCACGTCTCACTGAAACCTCTCCTGCTGCATCGGCCCCAGACCCTCTCTGGGGCCCCAGAAGCAGCCCCCAGCCCTGCCCTCCTGGCTGCAGAGCTGATAGCGGCTCTGGCTCTGGCCAATAATCCTGCTGACAATTAATTGGCTTTTGTTGGAGGAGAATGAATACCATCTCATCTTAATCTTCTTCATTATTCTCCTTGTTCAGCAGAGTCAACACAAGATTAGGTTTAATTTACGGGGAAAAATAGCAAAGTCATTGCTCACCAGGAGATCAGCGGTGGGTCTGCCTGTGTCCTGTGTTCACTGTAGGCGGGGGCCCTAGGGAGCCCTAGGGCTCCATGGCAGTGGTGAGGAATAGGGTTCCAGGAGACAAGTCCCCTTGGGACTACAGCCCTGATGGCCACCAGCCCTTCCTTAACCCAGGCTCCTAAATGTTCAAGGCACCTGTGTTAAGAACATCTGCAAAGCTCAGCCCCTAGCAATGGACGCGGATTGGGTTTTGGATTCAAATCCCCACTCCTCGCCCCTCCCTTTGTAAGGAGCAGCCCGGCCAGGGACTGGCTTGACAATGCTGACACCTAGTGGTGCTTAGAGGAACTGGCTCTTCTTGGCTTCCCTCTACATCCACCGTAAAATCAGTCGGCAAAGAGGAACATTTCCCACTAAACTGTAGAGAAGTATGCACCAAGAAATCTAATAAGAAATTTGTTTTACTTCCCCAGACCCCCTAACCAAAATGGCCCAGGAACCCCAGCACCCTTCTTTCCACCTGGGGTGACATCTCAGGTAGACACCCTTGGCACGGTCCTTGGCCTCGCCTCCTCACCCAGGCGCCCTGTCCCCTATCATCTTCTGCACCCTGTTTGTCCTCACTCTGGGACGTGGTTTCATCACCGAAGCTGGAAGCTGCTGATGTCCAACACCCACCTCCAGCTCCTTCAGGCAGAGCAATCCCTTGTCCCTTCCTGGGGTATTCACAATACACAGGGCAGAGCATACAGTGGGCTCCCTGCTGGTCTCCAAGCTCATGTCACTTCCCCACGTGGTCACCATTCCTGCCATGCTGGCTGCCTGCTGATCTGTAAATAAGCTTGTTCCCACCCCAGGGCCTTTGCACTTGCTGCTCCTGTAATGCTCACCCTGAAATTTGCATGCTGGGTGCTCTTCATCATTCAATCCCAATGCCATTTCTTCACCTTAGCAGAGCAACATTACCACCCTCACGCTCCACTTTGTTTATTGCACCGTAGAGGTCACGCTTCTAAGTGGCTGAGTTAATTTCTGTCTTCACTACTGATTAGCTGTGGCCTCAGGCAAGTTGCTCAATCTCTCTGTGCTTCAATATTCTCATCAGTTAAAAAAATAGAAATAATAGTTTCCAATTCACAAGGATACTATGATAAATCAATACGTATAAAGCTTAGAGTAGTAAACTGATCGCTCAATCATGTTGGTAATGATTTTGTTCTTGTATTTAGTTGCTTGCACAAGGGATGATCGAAAAGTACGGTGAATGCTTTTTTTTTCTTTTTTTAAAGACATATTGCCAAAAATGATGGCATAAGTGTGTTCAGAGCAGGGAGGAGGTGTTCTGAGAGATTTGCGGTAATATGTCTTTTACTGTAATCATTTTTTATTTAAACATGTCGTAGTTTTTATCATACCTTGTTGGTCAAATGTTTACAGCAATTTCTGGCAAATAAAAACATGGGAGTATGTCCTCATCCACCTGATTCACCGGATCTGGCACTGTGACTTCTGGCTCTTCCCCAAAGTCAAAATGACCATGAAAGACAGTGAGGAAAGAGGACTCCAGAGCTGCTTCGGACAGTGGCAAGGACAATGGGCTAAGTGTACTTGAACTCAGGGGAAGGAATTGAGGGGGATTATGCCAATATGTGTTTTACTGTAATCATTTTTTATTTAAACATTCATGGCTGGGGATTTAGCTCAGTGGTTCTGCCGCCTGCCTCACAAGTGTAAGGTCCCAAGTTCGATCCCCGGTACCAAAAAAAAAAGTGTAAACATTCACTTTATTTTGTGATCTCATCTCATAGGTGTGCTTCTCCATCTAGACTGTACATTCCAGGACAGCAGGGGCCTTGTCTGTTTTATTCCTGCCTGACACATAGTGGGTGCTCAACAAATACTGATTAAGTAGAAGAGAGCTTGGGTGGTACACGGGCCCTGTGTGCTGTTTCTGGCTCCGACTGTCCCCACTCTCCAGAGAGCCTGGGACGCCCCCCGCTGACCCTGCCTTCCTAGAACACCTACATGTGTGTCTGCTCTGCCCTCCAGGAGGGGGGAGTACAGGTGAGGGGCTGAGCACATAGGAGCCCCTGGGCGGGAACATGGCTCCCCTCACCCTGTGTGTCACTTCCTAGACAGCCTCATGCAGAAGAGAAATGAGAGAAATGATGACTGCTGCCCCATGGTCATCTCTGACCTGGCAGGAAGGGCCCCGTGTTCTGCACAGCCCCAGCCACTGGGAGGCTCAGAGGCAGCTGTCTGGTCTCCCTGAGCTAAAACCACTAAGGAGTCCTACCCCACCATGCGACAACACCGACATGCGTCCAGGACACCCCACCACCAAGCCGTCCCATCCCTGCTGTGTGCTCCACGACCGGGGTGGAGAATGTGGCCTCTGGGCTTCTGGCTCCTTCCCCTGAGGCCAGGCCGCTGCTGGAGGTGGCCTTGCTGGGTGGTGTCCCCTGTCCACCCCTGTGCACCCTGCCCACGGGACCCCAGAGGTCCTCCCACCTCCCTCCACACTTGCTCCCACACTCTGGGTGCCCTTGGCTTTGGTCACTGGCCACAGAACCCCAGCCAGAGCCCGACCCCAGGGGCCTCTCTCCTGAATGGCCTTGGCCCCTCAAACTCAGGGAGCCACCACCTGCAGCATCTCCGCCAGCCCTGCCGGGACTGCTGGCCGCTCCTGCCCACTGCGCATCTCCATCGTCCTTCTCCGATGATCCCACGCAGGTCCTCCCCACATGCCCAACAGAGCCGTGACCCCAACACTGCCTGCCTCCCATTCGCTATTCCAACACGGGAGCTCACAGGGTGCACGCTTCCCTTGTCTCTCACCACACGGGGCAAGGCGCTGTGACTTGTCACAAAGTCAGCTGGGCTCCGGCTGTGCCCTCCCCTTCAGACTGAGACCCTGAGAAAGGACTGCGGTATCCCTGGGGCACAGCTGAGCATCCTCCCTTAGACCAGATGTTCCCGGAGGTCACAGTTCCAGAGTCTCCCCTATCAGACTGAGGCTGCCCCCAGCAGTAACTGAGCGTCCCTCATGAGACCAGAGGGCCCCGGGGGGACTCATTCTCCATGTGGCCAGGCTTCGGATTCTCCCTGGGACAGTTTTCACTCCAGCGCCCCCACTCAGGGAGCCATGAGGGGCTCCGGAACTGAGTAAATCAATGAGCGAGCTCGTCCAAGCAGAGCAGGGGTCTTGTGGATGTTACTAGGCTGCACATCCGGAGAGGAGAGGTTTCAAGCCCTACACAGCACCCCGCCCCTGCAACCAGGCCAGGGATTGGGAAACGACCCTCCAGACCGGAGGCCAAGGACTCCTGTCCGGGCCAGACCCGGGCCAGGGCGGGCAGTGTGAAGTACGCATGCGTGAGAGGGACGGCGCCCCACCGCTTCCGCCCCAGCCACTCACCTCCATTGGGGAACTGATCCCCAGACGGGGTGCAACTACCACCACCGTCCTGCCTCCAAAGAGAAATGGGGGCAGGAGTGCAGCACGCCCTACGACTCTCAAGAGACGGAGAGAGCCACCACCCCAGCCCTGTACTGGGCTCTGGGCAGCTTGGGTGTCGGCCAGGCGCCAGGCCCAGCCTGGCGTCCTGAGCCTAATAATCCCAGCCTTTGTCTGCCCGGTGGCCCGGCCCGGCTGGCTCCACACAGGCCAAAGGGCCTGGAAACCGGAGCAGCTGGAGAACAACCAAGTATTTTTCCAGGCTGGGCCCGGGGCCCTCGGGAGACGCGAGGGACAGAGAGGGAGAGGTGTCCATTCATCCGCTCTGTATCCGTTCTTTCCCTGGACAGATGACATTTATTGCGCGCCGCCAGGTGGCAGGCCCTGCCCAGGAAGGTGCGGGGTCGGCACAGCCCGCGCCCTCTAGCGCGCACTCTACTAGCGGTGGCCACGCGCGCAGGACGCACACGCGGCAGGGGCGGGCAAGGCGAGGGTGCTACCAACTACGCTAAGGCCTGTCCACCGCGGCCGGGGGACAACGCTCAGGGCTCCACCCACACGCCGCTATTGGTCACCCGGGCCCCGAACCAGCCCTTCCAGTAGACGGAGTCCTGCCCGCCATGCTCGAAGCGCAGGAAGCGCACCCCTGGCCCGTAGTCGGTGAAGGTGTGGGAGATCTGGGGAGCGGAGGGGGAGCGAGTCAGCCTTGGGGCTCTTGAGGCTTCCTCTACCACCCCTCTCCGGCCCAGGGACCCGTCTCCAGCCCGGGGTCGGATTCTGTGTAGTGCACGCTCCCCAAGACTTTCCCGTGCAGCCTCGCCCCGCCCCGCCCTCCTACCGGCGCGCCGTGGGAGGGGTCTCCACGCGCCCCGCCCTCCCTCTCGGGACCGCCTCTCCTTCCCCGCCCCTCTTAGGCTGCGCTCCGGCTCACCTCTGTCCAGCCACCTTCCTCACTGTCCGTGGACACTACCACCTGCCCGGTGTTGAACTCGGCCAGCACATCCTCGTGCTCGGACAGCAGCTTCACGGTGAGCTCGTACAGACAGCCGGCGTCAGAGCGGCCTGAGTACCTGCCGGAGGAGGACAGATGGAACCCCGCTTCTGCTATCCGGGTCCCCATTTCAAAGACGAGAGCAGCGAAGCCAGTGGAGGCAGTAAACCCCAGGTCGGCCAGACCCAACTTGGGAGCCAAAGCTGCCCACAGAGGCAGGGGTTTTGTTTGAATTTTTGTTGTTGTCCCAGTCTTGACCCTGAGCTACTTCCCCTTTTTTATTTTTTATTTTCAGACACGGTGTAAGTCGCTAAGTTGCCCAGACTGGGGGTCGAAGTTGCGATCTTCCTGCCTCAGCCTCCCAGAGTGCTGGGATTCCAAGTGCGTACCACCACGCATGGCTGCAAACAGGTTTTGTCCGGAGGGGTGGACCCGCTGGTCTCGAAAACCTTTCAAACTCAGGAGAAGCTGTCAGGCTGCGGACCATGACCCAGGTGCCACAGCGCTAACAGGTCCCTCCTTGTCCTTGGCTTCCCCCCAGCCCGCCTGGCCCCGGCCCTCACCAGTCCTTCACCGCGATGGCCGGCTGGGTGGTGTCCAGCAGCTCCTCCCAGTAGCCCTCAGCCTGCAGGTCAATGACCTGTGCCTTGCGACACCACCTGGGAGAAGGGAATTAAGACAAGTGGACACCGCCTGCTGTGCTAGCGCAAGGACCCGAGTTCGATCCCCGGTACAAAAAAAACAAACAACAACAACAACAACAAAAAAACTAGGACCATTAAAAAAAAAAAAAAAAAGACAAGTGGAGGCCCCTTTTC